TTCAGTCATTCAGATCAAGGTATAATTCTATTGTCAATGGTCTACCCCTTTAGGCATCCTTTATAATCTTCTGGAAGATCCTTTTCTTAATTGCTCATTATATAAATTTAGACTAAGAACTCAATTACTTAAAGGTTAAATGAGTTACAAGGATACCATTATACAATGGTAAGCGAATTCCGTTAACGGGCTTAAACATTTGTCAAGTTTATCCGAGATAACTGTGTCATACATTTCAGATGTAAAAGGAAGTCCAGGCAAGAGCCCGAACTAGATCAATGACACAAACCTCGTGAAATCATCTAAAACAAAGGAAATGGAATATATCAGGTGAGGGTCAAAGGCTCCAATATGGAGTACAGGGGAGATTTTACCATTTACAGATGCTTTGGAAGTCATTTCCCATATAGAAATCTTTTCATCCCAAAGACCAAATTTTTAATTGTTTTATTTGAAAATAAAAATTAAAAAAATATTGGAATTCCTCTAAAAGAGGAAAGTTGATATCCTTGGTAACTGAAGGCGGGATCACGGGGGGCACAGACTCCCAAATGGAGTACAAGGGAGATTTTGCAATTTTAAGATGCTTTGTAAGTATTTCCTATATAGAAATCTTTTCATCCCTTAAACCAAATGATTAATGGTTTTATTTCAAAATAAAATAATTACCATTGACAAGTGAAAAAAGGAAGTCTGGAATCCCTGCTACAAGCATCAAAAGGATTTTTTCAATTAATAACGAGAATTCGCCGTTTGATTTTCACTAAAGAGAGAGGTGTAATTATTGGAGTTGCAAGTTATCTATCTAGAAGGTATAATGACATAGAATAGTTTCCTCTCATGGCCTGTGACGAGTAAAAAAAACTATAAACACACACAGCGAGGCTTCACCACTTTGAAGTGAGTAATTGAAAAAAGTGTTTTATTTCCACAAATTCACACGAAATCCAAAGAGAAAAATAAATTTCTTTAATGCGATTTACTCGAGTTATATGCAAACGCATTTTCTTAAAAAAAAATCTCATTATGACGTGCACATTATTTTAACCTGTTCTAAGTAAATACTTTTTGGTGTATTGACTTCACGTGAAAGCAGATTGTCTTTTCAATAAAACTGTTTTAAACTATTCATTTGAAACGTAATTATTGGTGTTCACTATTTCAATATATTCAATATCACTCTGTCACAAAGATGTATAATTATGTTCTGTTCAAAGGTTACTCAGCGTAAGGATTTTTATACTGAGTTGGAAGATTTTTTGGTTTATTGACTTGATTGTCCTTGATATATAATTGTTTTAATTTGTATTTGTTTATTCACTAGTGTTGGAAGTTTTACTCTTTGATAAAAAAAAAATCATTTTTGTTTAAAGATGGATTTCCTTATTTTTATTAATGAAAATGAAAATGATACGACACATTTTTCAACTTCTAAAATTTTTTTTCGAATTAAAAGTAACTGATTTTGTAGTCACTGTGCATCTAGGTGGAAAATAAAACCAAGTTTGATTTCCTTCAATATATGGAAATCGAAAAATAGTAGGCATATGCCACAGTACTGTAAAAATGTTCTTAATCAGGTGCAGCTAAAGTTAGTAGGTAACAGACAGACACATTATCAATGTATCAAATATAGTTATATAAATAACCACCCGCATACTAACCCATACGAGGGCTAGCTGAAATGTTGTTAGCCCAACTTTGAAAGACTCCTACCATGTCGATGGTTTTCATTTATTCTTATAGATAGCATAGTCCCTTTCCAGGGTTAAACACTTTAAGAATCAGATCAAGAAAATATTCGCTGCATCCATCATTAAAAAGTCAGTCACTGCTGAAATGACATCATTACTAAAAAATTGACGTCTTTTTCCATTTTCAGAGACAAGTGAAAGTCAAATCGGCCTATTTTCAATCGATTGAGATATCCCATTTAGGCTTAGAACTGTTCAGCTAGCCCTCCTAAATGTGTTCTATGAGATAAAGATGGTCTTGGGAACTCCTGCTACATATTTGAAAGCCATTGTAACTTTCAATGTTACATACAAGATGACCGTTATTTCCAGACCCTTGAACATGTTGTAGTTCTTAAATAACTTGGTTTGGTGCCAAAGTGGAATTACTTGTTTTGCGATGCATGTCAGAGTGTATCCATATAGAAATTTGTCAAATCTTTGGGATAATAATATCAAAAGATAGTAGGTTTGTTGCACTAGACAGGAAAATTGCACAATTTAAAGTGATTTTGTATTTTGGTGCAAAACAAATCGCACCAGAGAGTTTATAATAAGCAAAACTTCTGTGATGTTTCGTGATCAAATGTCTGTTATGACTCGTCTTTTCCACATCTCGTATTTGGATAGACCAGATAAATTGTTTACCAAAATATTAAACCATTCCGGAAGCTAAATAGTTCTTAACACGCTATGACTGTGTCAGTCTTATTGCGTAATACTTTCTTCAACATCTGAAAGACCAATAATTTTCTGTAATGTTCCCACACAGTTAACTTTAACAATGCAACGTATTATCCACGGAGAAGCAGAATACAATAGATTTGTCGAAAATCTTTCATGAGACATTAAGTAAATAGTCATATTTGCAATATTATCTTTGGCAAGATTTATTCATAACAAATTTTAAAGTGATACTACGTCTTAGGATGAACATAAAATTTAATGCTCAAGAATGGTCAATAAGAGTATATATTCATCAGTGAACTTACTTGGTGTCATAAAGTTACAACAGAATCCCTGTAAAATCTCGAAAATTGGAAAATTCTTTAAACTAAGTAATTATTGAAAAACGCTCAATCTTAATTTTAAGCGTTTTTCAATAGTTAATTGCAATTTATTGAGTTTTTGGATTTATCAGATTATATAAGGATCCTATTATGTTATTTATGACACCAGGTATATCTACTGATGAATATATGCTCTAATTGGCCAAGTTTAAAAATATAAAATTTTATGTTTATTCAGACGTAGTATCCCTTTAATCAATCTGAAGACATTGATTTCAACTCTCCAGAATATTTTCGAATGATTTAGTATTTCGACCTGGGGGTAATTAGCCTTAAGGGTGTAATTTTGTAATTTTTGGGGGGTAAAGAGGTGCTTTGTAGCGTAAATATTTTGGACAAATACATATATAACTTTAGTCGTTCTATTCAGTCAGGCTATATTCTCTGAAAGTAGCAAGCTTCAAAGCTCAGCTTCACAAGTTCATTTTCAAGCTAGACGTAGTATGTGGTCCTACTACTTTGCTTCGCTTTGGTCTTTGCAATCAGAGACATACGAAAGAAACTGACGTCAGATTTGTCTTGACATAGATAAGCAATGCGTAGCGAATCAAAGCTTCGTCTTGCTTCTTTATCTTCGCTTTGCTCTTTCGCTTAGCGGAGTATAAACCGGCCTTAAACAAAATCACGAAATATTTTGGATTTATAGGAGGAATGGGGGCACTATTAAAGATTTATAGGGGGAAGAGGTGCAATGTAATCATCAAGGAGTAATAATGTAGGGTTGATGGAACCGTAGTTACATCTCGTAAGGGCGCTTGCCTCTTCCTATTTTTTTTCTCAAGGAAATAGCATGGCTATGATTGTAGCATCGGAGTTTCCATTTGTGTAATCTGTCACAATCCAGCAACTTTCCAATAAATTGATGATCTTTATTCGTGACGTAACGCGTAAAGAATACATGATGGCAAAAATTAGTATTGCAAAGTTGTATTCTCAATTTGTCTTTCGAGGTTTTGGAGGCACGCGACCACCGTGTAATATGTAAAGGATTTTAAATATGGTTAATAAGACAACTGAGATTGAGTTCGAATATGATATCCACTGAAAAATCTCTCACGGAACGGAAAACCAATATGCATAGTAATCAATCAGCAAGAAATGTGAAAAATACCCGGAAGCAACTTCCGCCTTACGATCTTTCTATAACTGTCCTTGGTATTAACCGGTATTAAGTGACAGCACTGTGAGGTCAACCGATCTTGGAATCAAAAGGGTTTGTCTATACTTTTTTGAATTAAGGGTTTGTGTATAGGTATCGTGGAAACTGATAGCTTCATTTTCCACCATTCAAATTTCCAGTCAGATGCCTGTGGCTACTGCAATTCCACCAAAACAAAGTGTTCTATGACGTTACAATCGAAAGGGCCTTACGTGTTATAAGCAGTAGTGACGTAGGAACCATAAACATCTGGGTGAAAACTGGAATGGTCCAAATTGATGTTGTCAGTGTCCCAGATACACATACAAATTTTAGAAAACCTCTTAACAATCCCTTTGATGTGATTGGGAAACATTCTTTACTTCCTCATATGAAAAGTTCATTCGCTGCTATGTATTAACAATATGTTTTTGACTTAGGATTAGCGTACTTAGGGTTTTTAATTCTAATGTTTCGGTCTAGGTGTAGAGACAGAAATAATAAACCCTGTTAAATGGGGAGATTCTGCAGGTGCGGCGGTTTAAACCTATTCAGATACCTCGGATCTGCAAGTTACACCATTCTTTTCTCCCTACACCATTTATGTTCCATCAAAGATTTTTTTGGCGAAACTGATTTAGCATGGGCCATATTAAACTGGCACAGCCAAAAGTTCACTGGTCACGTGATGCCTACAAAATGAAAGTTACGGTGATGCCCATTACTAATTTACAATCATCTTGAGGTAATTCATTATTATGTTAGAGAAAACGCATCTTTGGAGGTGTGGAAAATCCCTTTCTCTTTTTCTTTTGACTCGTCTCCAGCTGACAACTGTCAAAATATCCATCAGAGGCTGGTATAGAGGCAGGTGTTTCGGACTAATGTTTACCAAGCCAATGTTATTGGGCAAATATAGTGTCACGACAACCTCTAAGTTGTATTGGTATAATAAAAGGTATTATCCCATAAGTGATCAAATCCAAACCGGAGAAATGAAGACTTTGGTCATCTTTATTACAAAATTAGACCAAATTTACAACAAAAAAACCGCCTTACCTTCTTCAGTGCCTTCTGTTACATCTGTTGATGGAAATCCCCGTTGTCTACCATCTTGAGCTTTTTCTATTAGAAATCCTTTTGAATTAGCCGTTAACCAAAGACAGGAGTTGTCTTCAAAATCACACTTATAGCAACTAATTGGAACAAACAATTCCATTAGTACACAAATGATCCACATTAACACAACCGTCATTGTGAACTGACTGTTGTATTTCCGATATTCTCTAGCTAGAATCCACTTTGAAATGTGAAATTGATTCTATAATTGTCAAGAGATATTTACGGTTTAAAAACTAATTTTGAAACGGTATATAAATCCTTAATCGCTTTGATGTGTTGTTTACCAAATTTCTGTAGACAAACGAATGTTCAGTAAATGCAAATGAATACAATTAAAATACATTCAAAGTCAATTATTCAGCATTCAGTTACATTAACATTCGTTCCACGTCGTTTCTTTCAAATGTCTTTTATGTTTTTAATCAGTTCCATTGAGGAATATTAGTCTCTCCCACCATACATTTATAAGATTTCCAATCTTGTTAAAAAAAAGTGGTTTATCAATGAAAATTCTGCTTAAATACATTAGGCCGACTACCTCCGTTTCTTGTCACGATTTCCAACTCCTTTCACCTGAAAGTATCAAATGAAATAAAGCATTATTAACTTTAGATTTAATACAAATTATTTAAAAGTAGCTTGCCAGGCAAGGTAAAATACGCCCACTGGCAGCTATCAGAAACGATAAGTCTTTTATGACTAAAATACGATTTTTCGCACTTTAACGATCTTCATTATAATACGAATCAAGGATAATAACTCTAAAACAAGGGTAATAACTCCAAAACCATTCATCTAATTTCACCAAATTCGAATTTGACAGATCTTATTAATATTACATTATACCAATTTTTTTTTTATCAAAATCCGATAAAAACTCTATCGTGTCACAGTTCATCCAATTTTTCCTAAATTCGAACTTAACTAAGATCTTGTCAGCATACACATGCATACCAAGTTTCATAAAGATCGGATTTAAACTTATCCCCACCGTGCCACAAGAAATGTGAACGAATGACAGGGGCGAGACTTCCATTCAGGCGAATAGAAATGCTGATCATTTACAGAATTGTATGCTGTAAAACATGATATTACGTAGTACAATCATGTTAACTATTCTTGTACTTGCAGTACTTCTATGTCAAGAAATTCAAATATGAGATGGCGTGTACTGTTTTTTTGTAACATGGAAAAAATAAATTGCCAGTTAATTTGACATGCTTAAATATTAGATTACGTCCTCATCTACAATTTGTATAAGATTTCACATCCTTCATTTCAACTCAAGTTTGAGCTAATAAAGATAGCATTTCACACAACACTTCTTTGATTAAAGCACAATTATTTATAAAAATGTTAGAATTAGTTTAAAGGGACAGGTTTGCCATTTTAGGGGGTTCATTTTAGTTTTGAATATGTAAACAGTCTTCAGAAGTACTAAAAATCGCATAATTTCTTTAATTACTTCAAACTAGGAATTATACTCACTATTTCTATATATGTCTTTTCTATATATCACAGAGTATCTTCAAATGACGAGTCGTCAACGCGGATAATTCTGGACACACATGGATTTGAAGGCTAAAATTTCGACGTTAAGCTGTGAAAACTATTACTGACTAATGTACGATTGGTAAAAAAGAATGGCTATCCCTTTAAAGGCATACCGTGAAGATAGTGATTCGATCATTTGTACAAAAATATTTAATTGTCCAGATATTTGAATACCTTGAGAGGTTATTTCCTAAATCTGGCCATAGTTTCCTAAATCTGATCATAGTGTATGGAGAAACGCTTTATCACAGTATGTCTTGTAAAAAAATATAACTTGAAATATCAATTTTCTATTAGCCAATAGATTATGAATTGAAGTGAAAAATCTCTATCAACTCCGCATCATATTATTCACAGTTCACTACCTTCTTTAACCATATCTAAGCTACATAATATTTCGAATAAAAATATAAAAATGGTATTCTGAAGCCCTGTATACACGATCAAACATTTGTTCAAAACAATGTATGACCGTGTGCGTGGACTAATGTTTAAACGTCTTGACGTCTTTCACAACAACGTTGAACATGGTCAAACATGTACGACTTTGTTAAAATATTTAGATACATGGTTCATCTTCGCAACAAATACTTAAATTAATTATTAGTCTTTAACAAATCAACAGTTGTATACACTTTATGTGACTTGGCTTTCAAATATAGACTGGCATGGATAAAGTGTAAACAGCTACTGAATTATTTACGGTACCACCTTTGCTAATAAGTCACGAAGGAATAAACATCCATACTTCAAAAATTACTTAAGCCGGCCTTGTGGGTCAGCTGTAAATCACTCAATAATGCCCGAAAAGTCACATGTTGGCCTTTGGATCCAGTCCTTTTTCTGTTGGTGAACCTTTGTATTCCCCTCTTCGAATTTTGTGACAAAGATTTGGAAAATAATAACTGATGCAACAGCACTACTCAACAGTATGCTTTGAGCATACACGTTTATTATTTTTCCTTCAAAAACAACATTTTCTGTCCATAATTGGTTATACACGGTCATACATCGTCATACAAATATTTGAGGATGTTTGACAGTGTAGACAGATATTCACAACAAGCTTGGTCATGGTCATAAGTGTATGATGATGTTTTGAACAAATGTATGATCGTACAGACAGGGCTTGTCAAAAGATATATACAATTTTCACTGTTCCAGTCCCCTGTTTCAGAGAGAAATTTTAAGCGGGGGATTGGAAATAAACCTGTACAACCAGAAGCAGACCAATATTTTTCGTTTCAATTTTCAGTTGTTTTTCAAGTGCAGGCTTGAATGTTTCTTAGACGTCCTTGGTTGCAGACTATACTCAATAGTACATGAGATGGTGGCCGTAATGTGGGCAGACTAAATCTACAACAGGCGTCAAATGGGAAGCCGACATACTGCGAATAGACGCAATCAGTGATCCTTGGAAATACACACTGTATAGTCAATTTGTACCGAATGTATTAAGTTCGAACTTGGATGTGTACAATATCTTTGTTCGACAATATATCTAATACTAACAGTAAAAATCCTTTCATTCGACAATATATCTCAATATACAATATATTTGTTCGACAATGTATTCAATAGATATCTTTGTTCTACAATATATCTATTAAATACAATACCTTGTAATATATCCAATAGATATCGTGTTCGACAATATATCTTATGATAACATTCCTTTCGTTCGACCATATATCTCATAGATTTTTTCCACAATATATCTAATAAATACAATACCCTTTTTCGACAACATATCTATTAAATACAATACCTTGTAATATATCCAATAATATACCTAAAAGATACAATATCTTTGTTCGACAATGTTTTTAATAGATTAGTATTTTTACCGAATCCTTCATATCGTCTGCTCGCTGACAAAACCTCGTATCTGCAAAATTAAGTTTTTTGTTTTATTTGGCCATCGTAAATGTTTTTTAGAGGCGCATACTGTGACAAAATCTCGTAGTTCTTGTCCAATCAGAAGTGGCAAGTAATGACACGTGCCAATATGTCGTATTGTAATTGGTAAATTTTTTACTATGACAAAACATCATATGAAGGCGACGTCGACGTAAAGATTCAACGACGTGATATTTTTATGTTAAAATCATCAATTTGGTAAGAATAAACTTATTTTAAGATTTTCCAATCGTTTAACGTTATCTGTTTGACGTGTTTCTAATAAACAATAGTCAGTGTTACGTTTTATGGCCTTTTATATTGTCATATTGAATAGGAGGCCTTATGAGATCCCCATGCTCTTGTTTACAATTAATATTAAAATGCCCACGTGTTATTTTTTTCCCCATTATATCCTTGGTAAAGTAATACAATGCAATACAATATTATAAAACTGTATTAATCACGTTTATCAGAGTGTATACGCTGATACGATAATTTGTAATAACATGATTATCTCGTATTGCACATTTTATATAGCCCAAAACGCAGATACGATATTTTGTTATTGGTATGTTTTTTTGAATATACCACACTGATTATGATAATTATGAATATCGTATATTTCATTGCAGGTTATCATGTTCGCCAGAGGTTTGTTGATGGTTAAATTGGCCACTGAAAAAGTTCAAAATGAAGCAAAATCTATCCAATCTAAAGCAAAAATGACTAAACCAAAGTTTCGTTCACAAAGCGATACATTATGCAGAAATCCTGTAAGAACATTTGATAAAGCCCAAACTGTGGAATCAAGTTGTCATACAGAGGATCCGGACCTTAAAATTGTTATCATAGAAGCATTAAAAGGCACCTTATTTACTGAACCAATAATAGAAACGATTGTGAAAGATCTGGAAGATAAATCAAAATTAGAAATTTTGACGGAATCTTTTACAGAAGAAACGAGATTAGAAAGTAGCCCTACAAGGTCAGCAATTGAAAGTTTAACAGGACCAGAGTACCAACCACCCAAAAACCAACCAGAGTCTATTAAAAGATTGAAAAGAAAAAGAAGAGAGTCGAATCCAGATATTTGGAATAAAAATATTCAAAAGCAGAGAAGAATGGAAGGTAAAGTTACAAAGGACTTGAGAAAAAAGAAAGAAAGTGGGTCTTTGGAAAGGACAGACAGGAAAGATTACTTACACCACGTACTTGTTCAAAGAAATGTGAGAAAAACAAAGAGTGTGCGAAAATTTCGGATGAAGATAGGAGTGAAATATTGTCTGGTTTCTGGCAAAAGCTGGATTGGAAAGAACGTCAACTGTATGTAAATTCACTTATACAATCTGTACCTGTTCAAAGAAGAACTGATGCACCAACTGCTTCTAGAAGAAACGTTAGCCACAAGTACTTTTTGCGAAAGAATGAAGAGAGAGTCCAAGTTTGTAAAAGTCTATTTCTTTCAACTCTTGGCATTGGGGAAAACAGTTTATGGTTGGTTATCCAAAGTTTCTGATGACAGTTATGGTATGCCAGAAAAAACACCAAACAAACGTAGAAGGGAAGCAATGCGATCCGGAGATGCTAATTTGAGGGAAAGCGCAGAGAGCTTTCTTGACAAATTACCGAAACTAGAATCGCAGTACTGCAGATCGACGAGTAGCATACCTTCCATATCTTTTCAGAAGTTTATCAAACATACAGGAATGATTGCGCTGCTACAGGAGAGACACCAGCATCGTCTGGTATACTAAAAGCTGTGTTTAATGAGAAAATTATCGGCCTGTTTAATCCGAAAAAAGATCAATGTGATCTTTGTTGTGGATATGAAGTGGATAATATCTCCCAACAAGATTACGAACATCACCAAGCACATAAAGAAGCTGCTTCAGAAAAGTCTGAAGATAAAGCTAGATGTCAATAAAATCCAGAGCATAAGTTGATCACCATTGACCTTTAGTCAGTTTTGTTGAGCCCTAAATTACACGCTAGTGCCCTTTATTATAAAACTATATTGGCGTGTCATAATTTCACCATGTTTGATTTAACCACCACAGATGTTATGTGTTATTTTTGGCTTGAAGCTGAGGGCGATTTAACTGCAAATTCCTTTGCATCATGTTTATATAATTATCTACAGCGATAGCTGTTCTTATCAGAACAGAAATGCAATTTTGAGTAACACTTTGATACAAATAGCCACAGCTAAAAACATTGATATAACACACAAATATTTGATTAAAGGTCACACACAGATGGAAGTGGACAGTGTCCATAGTGTTATTGAACGAAAGATTAAAAATTCCCCGATTTACACCCCGCAAAATTATGTTGAAATTATTAAATGTTCCCGTCCCCGAAATCCATATCAAGTTAAATATGTTGACTTTAGTTTCTTCAAGAAATTTTCTACTTTCAAATTTTATTCATCCATCCGACCAGGCTCAAAAGTAGGAGACCCAACAGTCACAGATATACGCGTACTTCATTACAATACAGATGGCACCATACAGTTTAAATTGGACTTCAATGAGCCACTACAGGATTTACCTCGAAAAGCCAGGCAGCAGTCACCCCCACGACAATTTGTTATACCCCCTCCCATCGCCTCCCAATTAAACAAAGTAAATATTCCCATCTGCAAGAACTAAAATCTGTTATCACCAAAGATTACCATGCCTTTTATGACGCAATCCCCAACACATAGACGTTCGAAAATTTATTGTTTTATTCATAAGTAAACCAGCTTTAATTTTTATGCCTTTTGGAATGTTTTGTGACAATGAAGTTCAGGCTCGTGGGGTGGGGTGGCATGGCATAGTAAGGTGGAAGAGGGGGCTCGGGCACTATTTTAAACGGAATTTACCCAATCCCTACTCAATTTCAAAACATCGTAACTGCAATTTTTATGTTAATATTAGGATCGGATTTAGATTTAAATTGTCGTATGTGGCGTATGTACATAGTCAACTTTTTTGAAAACCAAACTATCGTATCTACACTGTTAGTTTAACACGTTTATGTAGGCTTGTGCCTTTAAAACGACAAATTATAAGCGTCTTCAATGTCGCTTTTTTAAAAAACAATCTGTGTATTGAGCACCACACTTACGAAAAAAAGTTTTTTTGTCTCTCCTGAAAAGTCGTATATTTGCAGATTCGAGGTATTGTCAGCGAGCCGACGATATACAGTTATTTAATTGGCGCAATTAAACTCAAGAAAAAATTTAATGGCTTAAATGATTAATGTTTTCGTATTAATGGTAGTTTCAAGACCGAATTTCTAAAACGAAAGAAACGACAACGAAGCTAATATCATTTTGTCGCTAAAAATGTGATGGATGTTTATAAGATATTTGCCATCATGAGAGATGGTAGTCGGTGTCGACTTCTCATACGAAATTTATAAGTGTTAACTTGTTTAAGAATACACGTAAATAGTTTAATGCGATTTAACCATTTCACGCTGTTCGTGTTCAAATGATTAATACCTGTTGGTCATATAGGTGTCTGAAGATCGCCCAGATTGAGAAACAACATGATTCGAATTTTGTTTTAATATTTCTATATCGCTCGGCAATTGATTTATTGAGAACTATTTCAACGGTAAAAATATTTTAATATTGGAATAGGTGATATATGTATTTTTTAAATAGTGAATCGTTTTCAAAACTCCCAAAATGTTGCTTCATGTGTAGCACAGAAATGCATGCAACATAGAAAACAAAATACGAATCTATGATCAAATGAAAATTAAGAATTGGTCTTGTGAGACGACACATATAATGGATAAATTGTCATCCTCAAAACATATTTATTGAAGGTGAATGGACATCAAAATAAAGAACAACAGACAGATATCTAATTATAATGTCAAATTCGGGAAAATATCAAGACCCTTAATCCTAATTTCTAAATAACGTGTCTGCTCCACCCTAGGCCTGTACATGTGAGAGAATCAAACCCTCCCTTCCCCGAAATCTAATGTAAAATAAAAGTTTATTATTATTATAACAGAATTGTGCAGTTTTGTTGTTTTTCGTTGAACTTTTGACTTACCATCAATAAGCGATCGGGATTCCTGTTTGAATTAAAAAAAAATATAGAGGAAATAGAACATTTCAGCTGAGCGTCAAATGGGCCACAGGTTCCTATATGGGGTAGAGGGGAGTCATTTTCAATATAAAAATCTTTTCTTCCCTCAAACCAAATTTTTAATGGTTTTATTTGAAAATAAAAACTAGTAAAATAGTGGAATTCCTCTAAAAAGGAAAAGTGGTATCCTTGGTAACTGTAGATCATTTATATTCGTTTCGAAAACTGTTTTCATGAACTGAGCACAAACTGCATGTGTCTTTCTCTTATATTAACTTGATTATAACTGACCTGAGGCATAATAATTCGACGCCAGTACAAAACGTGGTATTAGGTAACATTCAATTAGATGTGATCACAGGCAAACAGCACTATAAAATGCCATCGACTTATTCACATTTAAAAGAATTGAGAGAGATTATTTCTGATGGAGTACTGAGAAATACAGTAATTTTGCACGACATCATTTAAGAGACAATTTGAAAATAGGTCGTTAAACATACCCTCTATAAATGCCAACTTGATATTGTATTCGTCGCACCTGGCTACGGTTGATTCTATTTGGTATGTACATGTAAGTTGATGAGTTCATCAGTTCGAATTTAACGATTTTGATAAATTTTAGAATTATTGCCCATGATAAACTATGTAACAAGTGGCTTGTAAATGGCTTGTGCCAGGGCTCACGTCGATTAAAATCTCCAGAGAAATTTTATGCAGGGCCAAGAAAGCAAATACATTAGAGCGTATATCGCTCAGTGGAATTTTGCCGTAGATCAGGTGATTGGTACACAATGACCATAGGCAGTCATTTTGATAATTCTGATATGAAGTCAGATTGGTTTGGAAAATATCGATCGCCGGACAAGATAAACAAGATGAACTCCACTTTACTAGATTATTGTTTTTTAAGTTTCAAGAATGTCAAGCTTGTCTTGGATTATGAAACAATGGTTTTGGAAAAAATTGTATTAAAATGAGATACGTGACCAATGATAAATTGCACATTACTGTTTCTATAACGAATCTGTCAATTCACGATTTTAAAGAATAATAAGTGGTCTTAACAGATAGACTGGGGCTTTTTTGTTTTTCGTATTTGATAATTTCTTCAAACCCAATTCTCCCACGCAACAGACTATTCACGTTGTATGATTGACAACCTGAAGAAGATTTAGACATGCTTTGAAGAAAAATATTCGTGTGGTTGGATCATTCAGAGAATTGTGAGTCATGCTGTTAAAAAGATATGATGGAAGGTGATCTGTTTGTAATTGAAAAGGTTTTGAAAATTTTATTTGTGATCTTCATGGAGTTATTCTATGACAAGGTTACAAAGCATGTTTTTTTCATTATCCATCCTTGAATAAGAGTCTTTTGACCAGATTATTTTGCTCTAAGCTCACTAGCTCATTCAGAATTACTTGACTTTATGTATTTAATGTATTTCAGATAGGTCATTGATTTAGGTATAATTCGGTTTAAAAAGGTCTTGCTTTAGAATATCAACAGAGAAAAGTGGGAGTTGGATTGACGTTGAAGAAGGTAGACTCGGTCTAAATAGGCTCATTCTGACCGGATAATACTATTTATTAATATTCATCGCGGTCAAACAGGTATGTCAAATCTATTCCATTTAAAGGAAAGATTCATTGCGTATATGGTATGCCCTTTCTACACTAAGTATCTCAATTGCATGCGTGAAGATTGTTTGTTCGGCACTTGGTTATGTTCAATTATAAGGTAAAGAATCTCCTGAAAACTGCCGTGGGAATTTCTACGTGTCTTTTCTAACTAAAATCACGATTTGAAAAAATAATTGAACAAGGAATGGAAACAATGGGTTTTCATGTAAAAAAAAAGGGTCTTGTATGTGGTATGGGACACTCAGCGCTACAGGCTGTGTACTTTAAAGATTCTTTGACGTCCCATGAAATTTCCATAGCTGCACAATTCATGATGATATTCGTTTACTTATTTATCCATTTACTTTCGCACGCGTCTAGTTTATGGAAACGCTGGGCATTACGAGCATTGTATTTGAATTAAGTACATCACAATACCATTGGCTTGAATACGTATGTACATTATCTTAATATAGTATGATGGAAGTTTGCATCCTGTAAAATCTCAAAGCATTGCCAGAAGACTCAAAGCATTGCCAGAAAGATTAAGATGTATCTTTTGAAGCTTTTCAGACGATTACGTCGAGGCATAACGTCGAACCCTACGTCGTGTGCTTGAGACACATATAAAGGTTTCGATGACATTCTAAATGAAATGAATGAGTCTTACGCCCTATTTTTCTACACCTTATTGGTCCAATGAAACGAAATGAATTGTGCTACCCGAGCAACGCCAGCGACAGTTGTCCAACATTGTACAGTTGTTTGACATTGCAATATTGTTCAGTTGTGAATTTTGGGAGAGCAGCAGTTTCACAATGAAACAGCTCAACTTCAGAATGGTTCCCCTTTCAGCATAACTCGCCAGCTGAACGTATATATGATTTGACAGAGTAATGATGGGTGTACAAAGAGGAATGAGCAAGTACAAGTATACTTACAAATGTGGGATTATTCACTATATTCAGCATCCAATGGAATATGTGAAAATAAGTCTATGATTTCTCACTTTAGAAATATTATCTATTGGCTGTAAGACTGACACTGAAGAAGGTCCAGTTGTCATTGTATTGTATTATCGTAAGATTGTTGTCATAATCTGACCCTATTTGACCTTTAATCAGTCAGTGAGTTGTGTTGATCACAGTTTATTTAACTGAGATAAGGTAATTAAACTGTCTATTAAGCTGGAGAATGCACAATGG